CTGGTTTATGAAATTACACAGCGATTTCATTTGTGTCGCATAAAAATTTGATTCTACACCATGCTACAAATAATCTAACTAATGCAAGTCTTGCAAAATATTGAGCTCCTTTAATATATTAAAGGTGGTAAGGAAGCTACTTGGAATAATTCATTCTGGATCTTGACAATTACACCCCTATGTCTCAGATGGCAGCTGGTGTGAATGGAGAGGAAGATGGGTTTAAACAGTGGCAGAGTTTGGTACGCCAGACAGAATTGACTGCTCAGTTGTGTTCAATCACTAGAGATGTGAGGAATGTTCGTGGTAACACACAGAAGAAAATTGAAAAGCTTAGACAACTACTTTCTGGTCTTCTTAGTGAACTTACCTATTTTGATGAGGTATATATCTAACATGAAGTTGTATGGTAATTTATTGTTTTCATCTTTTTGTTGACCTTTTTCCTTTAATTAATGATGCATCTCAGAGCTTACCTATTTTTTTTTCTATTTCCAATAATTATATATAGTCAATTCTTAGAAGATTCTTCAACTGTATGTTTATTGTTGCTATGTTTCACTTGTAGCCAATACGATCACCACTGGCACCAGGTGTCCTCATTACTGGAATTGTACCTTCAGAATCATCAATTTTTAAAAGTGCATTGCATCCTTTGCGCCTTACTTTTAGAACAGCAAATGGTGGAACTAGTAAAATCATATTTAAAAAGGGAGATGATATTCGGCAGGACCAGTTGGTATTCTTACTTATCCTTTTTACCCTGTTGAGCATGCAAATAAATACCTTTGTGTACATGTGTGCATTGATACACTAAAAACGTGTGCCTGTCCATGTGTTCATGCACGCACACACTCATGAGGTATATTCAGAAAACATGAGTTCAATTTTGTAAATGTTTGTCTTATGTAGGTTGTTCAAATGGTATCACTAATGGATCGATTGCTGAAGTTGGAAAATCTTGATCTACACCTAACACCATACAAGGTGCTAGCAACTGGACAAGATGAAGGCATGTTGGAATTTATTCCATCCCGCTCATTGGCACAGGTATGGTGTTTTATATTTTTTTAAAAATTTGTTTTTTGTATTAGTGCGTAGTCACTGTTTCTTGTGATTTAATGTTTCTTCTACATTGATACATAGTAAGACTTTAATTTTGACCCATTGTGACTTTATAGATACATAGTTGTTCCATATTTACCTTGTTAACTGGCAAAGGCTTAGTTAATCTAATGCTTTGGTCTTTTGCTAGACTAATATATAATCTTTACATGTCTAGATTTTATCAGAGCATCGTAGCATCATAAGCTATTTGCAAAAGTTCCATCCTGATGACCATGGACCTTTTGGAATTACAGCCACCTGCCTTGAAACATTTATAAAAAGTTGTGCTGGCTACTCTGTTATAACATATATACTTGGTATCGGTGACAGGTGATTGTTAATTTTTTTTCATTAAACATCATTTTATATTCTTAGCTATTAGCATTAAGGGTTTATATTTTGTTTTGATACTTCTAATTATGTTGTTATGATGTGATTCTGAGATCACTTACATCACCTCCCCCACAGTCCCCACCCCCAATAAAATGGAGTAATCAGTTATTAGGGTTGGGTGGGTGTGGACCAAGAATAGTTGTGCTTTTTGGGTGTTATAATTTATCCTGTCTATCTTGACTAGTTGACTGTTTTGATTTGAATTTATTTTGTGTATTACTCACACATTGTATTATCCAAAACCATGTTGAAATACCAAGTAACGTGATTTTAGGTAAATATTCACACGTATTGTTCCATATTGAAAAAATTGATTCTTGATTTTGAATTGAAACAATTTTATGTAGTTTTTGCATTTGATCAAAAAGTTTATACTGAATTTTACTACTAAGTTTTAGTATAAAAACATCTAAAAATAAATTACTTCACTTCAAATCAATTTTGCAAACACTCACCCAAACATACACATAGACATGTTACATTGTTCATTGAATTTGTATTTTGTCTCTATTTAAATTGATTTTTTATAATTTTTTGGCAGGCACTTAGACAATCTTCTCCTTAGAAATGATGGACGCCTTTTCCATGTTGATTTTGGTTTTATTCTTGGGCGAGATCCTAAGCCATTTCCACCACCAATGAAGCTCTGCAAGGAAATGGTTGAGGCTATGGGTGGAGCTGAAAGGTACTTTCTCATTGGATGATTTACTTTCATTCAAGACGGTAGTTGTGTGATTTGTAACTTATATTGTGATATAATGATTGATTTCTTTGTTCCCAATGCCAGCCAATATTATACAAGGTTCAAATCCTATTGTTGTGAAGCATACAACATTCTTCGCAAATCCAGTAACCTAATTTTAAATCTATTTTACTTAATGGCGGGTTCTAATATTCCAGACATAGCTTCTGATCCTGAAAAGGGGATTCTTAAGGTGAGCTCCTTTGTGTTTCAATAAATAGGTCTAAACTGTTCATTTGTTCTTATACCAAGACAATGTGGCTGTGCAGCTTCAGGAAAAGTTTCGGTTGGACTTGGATGATGAAGCAAGTATACATTTCTTCCAGGATCTTATCAATGAGAGCGTGAGTGCACTATTCCCTCAGATGGTTGAGACCATCCATCGTTGGGCTCAGTATTGGCGGTAACCCCAATATTAATTGGGTGTTTTTACACACAGTAATTAACCAGGTAATTTTTAGTTCTATTATGAGGAAAAACATGTAGAACCCTTTTTGTATGTTGACTGATATATGTTTGAAATTTTCAATATACAAATACAAGTTTCGATGTATCACTTTAAGCTTTCAATTTAAATCATGATCACTCTAAAGCAACTGCCCTTGGATCTTACAAATGCAATATTGACAAATGATTATCGAGAACTAATTGGAATATCATAGCATTTCTTTTCTTCGAAGTTCTTTTTTAGGTTTTTTCTCATACAGTCTCTTGTTTCCAGCATTTGAAGCAAGCAACAGTATAATGTCCGTGGTTTTGTCTTCTCTCGGAACTCCTCAATCAGAGTGAGACCCGACTGCAGCTGTGTGCACTTCTAATTTCAAAACTAATTATCCTGAAGGCAGGGACATTGTTGCTGCTATGTAAATAAACTAGTTCTCTTTTGTTCTTCTGGTTATGTTTGCATCAAGACAGTAGAACTTATAAAATATATTCTTTATCATACACAAACTAATGGTCTTTTAGGTTAAATTATCCTTTGTCATTTTTGTAAAGAACTCTTACCTAGTTATATTCTGCAGTTTGATGTATGTCTTATGTAAATAAATTCAGCTACGATATTTGGTCAATTTGCAAGAAGTAAATTATCGCAAACTGTATCTGCATGAACTGTGAATACTTGAAGAGCGTTACTCTGTTTTATAAAGGTGTACTAATCACAAACTATATAAGTTTATTAACTTTGATAATAACTAATGAAATACCAAATATGAATTTTAATTGATTGAGTGTAAATCAAAATTATATTGATGGTGTAAAATACTCGAATATATATGCTTAAGATTGGACAGGGATAAAGCTACATTTAACAAGCAAATTCATACTTGTAATAAGCAAACCATTAACCAGGTTGTTGGCAGACCGGTAGAAACATCTTTATGAATAATAAATCTATGATATATTGATATTGTAATGCGTGGTTAAATATCAATTTAACTATGGAAAACATAATAAGTTAAAACTATTAAAATGACTTTTTAAGGAGATAGGAAATTAAAGCTGAAAATTTACACTGATAAAAAAAAAAGGATCTGTAAATTTGCATATCGATATATAAAATCTAAGACTCTTTTTAGTTGATATTATAATCCCTTAATTTTTTTATTATTATAATACTATATTTATAAGATTTATAATCTTGATTATTTCAAATTCTGCTAAAAAAGATCTGTATCGCATCTATTGAATTAATCTTTGAATATATTTAATTAATAATAATATATTTTTACATTTTTTATTCTTATAAACATATGAAGGATATATATTTAATCTTTAATTTTATTTTACCGGTTAATTCACAGCTGATATACTAATTATTTCATGCTAAATTATTTTTATATAAGTAATAAATAAGTAATTACTATTTTAAAATTTAAAATGCAAACAGCATAATGTATTATATACTCCGGGTAGAAAAGCTTGGGTTTAAAAGCTTGAAAGAATGAATAAAAGGAATAAAAATACTTTTCGTTATTTTATTTTAAGTTAAAAGGAATAAAATAATCCCGGTACCTTTGTTAATTAATCTTACATAGTGCGTTTTTTGTGATAAAAATAGTTCTGGATTTACCCTGTCGAGTGCATATTTGGTAGGAGTTTGACCCACCCAGACGGAAAATGGGAGACTCATTTATACTTGATTTTAGGATGGTGGGAATAATTTTTCTGAGAGCACTTTTAAGCAAATAAAAATAAGAAGAAAAATTGAAATACTTTTTTATAAATTAAAATTTATTTATGCATGAGTTAAAAATAAGATTTTAAAGAAGTTAATAAAAAAATATTTATAAAATAATTTATGCATAAATTAATTTTATTTTATGGAGAAAAATATTTTATTTCTCCTTCTTATTTTGCTCTTTTAAAGGTGATTTCAAAGAAGTTTGTCCAAACATGTTTTGGACAAGTTGTATTTGGAATTACGGATGAAAGCATTAATGATATCATATTAAATTTATAATAAATTATATATTTAATCATATTTAAATATATAATTATATTTAAATTTTGTATAAATAGATATTTTTAAAATTTGGAGTAAAATCGTATAATTATAATATTTAATAAATAAAAAATATACTTAAACCTAAATATGTTAAATAAAAGTAAATTTCATAATTTTTTTTAAAAGTATTCTCGTAAAAAAATAGTCTTTAAAAAGTAAAAACACCTATAAACTTTTACGTTTAATATATACATGATGATGGATAAAATATCATATTTATTTTTTTACCACCAAACGGGCCTTAAGACCATGAGCCCAATAGCTAAAGCCACCCCGATGCTCTATACTTCCACTGTAGCAACTCAGTGTGCATAAAAAATTCCCAACCCCAAATCGCGTTTTAAACCCTAACCCTAGCAATCAGAAGCAGAAAAAAAAATGACGCAGAAGGCGAATCTTTTCAAGGGTCAAGCGAAGAAGAAATCAATTCCTCCTAATCGTCATGGGAAAGCTCCTGTTATTCGCAAAGGTTGGTCCTTTTCCCCCTTTTTCCCCTTCGAGTGCAAGATCTTTTGCATTAATCTGTTTTCGTTTCTCTCCGTAGGAAAGAGATTCGTGAAGCCATCAAAGGTCACAAAGGAGATGGATGCTGATCGTGTAAGCCCCTTTCATTTATCACTATTTCTCACTCACTTTATCCCTTTTGGACCGTTTTACTTCTGAATATGATGTTTTATGCGGCTGAATGAGGATTTCTAGCAGCAAATTAGGTTTGAAAATTTTGCATCATCCAAGTCTGCAAAGGGATACACATGTATATAGTATTATAAGATTTTGCTTTGTGTTGTGATATAGTTTTATGAACTAACGAAATCATCTGGAATTGTTTATATTTTGTGTCATTGTTGTTGATATTGATTTAATTTTAATTTTGGTTCAATTTCAGGAGGTGAGCAAATTCATTAACCACTGCAATGAGATCAAAGCAGCGACTCTGGCTACTAAGGATGGTGGCCAATTAGGCATTATTAAGCAGCCACAAGAGCCACCAAGTAAATAGACACTTATCAGAGGGTTTGTGGTAGCTGAATATTTAACTTATGAATGGTGAATTGTCTAAGACCCTTTGTAGTTATAAAATGTAAAATCAATTTTGATAGCCTTGTCTTTGTTTTCATTGATAGAATATTTTGGGGGTCTGTATTGGTTTGAATTGATCTTTTTGTCTCCATTTAGGTGGATGTTTGGTGTTTTTGGATACAGTAGTTCTCATAGCCCCATTCCATTTATGAAGAAACACTATGATTTTATTTTTTTTTACCAATTCAACAAAAGGCTATTGTTCCAATTTATTTTTTTTTTTTTACCTATTGGCTATTATATTGCTACACACAGGCTCCTAATTGGCTATTACATATTACAAATGCAGCATCCTCCATTCTGAGATTCAGATATACATTGAGTGATATGATTTAGTTGAAATCATGTTTGATTAGACTTTTAATTTGGCAGCCGGTATTAAAAATTATTCTAGACAATGATTTTATAAATAAAAAATAAATTCTTTTTTAAATTTGTGAATTGTAAAATTTGATTTATTTCAATTGTTAGTGTCAATGAATACAATAAAAAAAAGTGTATTAAAGCTATCCAAATTTTACAACCTTGTAAAAAAATTTGAAATTAAAATGATGGGTTTTTAAAAGGAATTAAATTAAGCAGAAAATTTTGAAATTTCAACGATAAAAGTGAAAATTTGTTCATATTCGTTGTCATAGTATTTTTAATTTAAGAATTTAATTTGAGTTTTTAATTATTTTTTAATGGGCATTGTTGACGCATAGATTTTAAAAATACTAATTAATTAATTTCCAAAACAATAAATCAATCGTGGAATGCAAAATCAACAAAAGTAACTAAAATCACAAACTACTGGAATTGTAATCAAGATTTCAAGAACTAAAATTAGATAAATTCAATCTTTGAATCCATTCATACTGCAATCCTGGGTGCCACTTCTAAAAAAATCAATGTTGAACCCTTTCATCTTAAACTTTTATCGTGCACAGAGGGTAGATATGGAATGACGATGGTGGTAAAAACGTGTAGCAATAATAATAGTATTTAATTTGGGATGGCAAAAATACTCGCACTGCAGGTATCTGTGGATAAAATTCGCTATGGATAATAAATGAGTAGGCTAAATGGATACTCGTAAATAATGGGGATGAATAATTTTTTACCCGTTTATAAACGGGACAGGGGCGGGTATGATGGTATCCATACCTGTAGTACCCGTTTAATAACATTTCTTAAATATCCTAATTATCCTTATATCACATAATCCTAAAACTATACTCTCTCATCTTATTTTTTTTCATAGTCGCAGCCCACACATTAGTCATTACACATTTTGAGATTGAATTGTTGTAACTTTGTGATATAAGACTTTCACTTACTTGTGAGATTAATGTATTTTAAGTTATTGATTATCTTGTTTTTTTAATATTATTTGAACAAAATTAACGTTAATTACAAGTTCAAAATTAACATTAAATTTTTATTTTTAATATTTCAATGACATTAAATATAAACTTAAAATTATTTATAATTAATTTTTTTAATTTCTTAAAAAATTTATAAATATCCATGAATATCCACGGATATTCAAGAACATGGATACTCGCTTAACTGATACCCCCGCGGGTATGGGGCGAATATGGGGCAAATTTTCATCTAACGGGGTGGGGACGGTACCCATCCCCATGGGGCCCATTGTCATCCCTAGTTTTAATGTTAAGAGAATTTTAAGTGGATTGTTATGTATTATTAGTTATTGATTTGACTTACTACATTTACTTCTATGTTTATGTCTTCGAAATTTTAAATCAATTTTTTTTTGTAGCTTTACACCACAAAATAATAAATAAAATTGTAGTGTCTTGTAAACTAAAAAACTATCTTGGACTAATATTTTATTAACTAGTAGTAATTTATAAGATAAGTCATGTGGTTAAATTATCACTTAAAAATAATATTTATTGAAGAATAAAGTTGAATGACTATCACAAAGATGAACAATGATTAAAGAACTAGGTAAAAAATAAAATAAAATTGTTGAGACTAAAAAAGAATTCCATGTAAAGATGACAAATTAAAAGTGAATTTTATGAAAATATGAGAAATTAAAAATATAATTTATATAAAAAAATATTATGCATAGTTGTCATGTCTAGAGATGATGAAATAAAAAATACCTTCAAATAATAATTGAGTGTCCACTTAATAATAGGATGGAGATGGATAATAAAATATATGTGTTCATGAGTATTTGCACTTAAAAAATATTAAAATAATTTTAATAATATATAAAATAATTTGACTTAATTAATTTTTAGTATATATATATATATATATATATGTCATAATCATTTGATTCTAGTATAAATATCTTATAAAACTATTTGTAGCTTTATTTTACTTCTTATTTTTATTTTAAAATTTATATTTTAACAAATATTCATTGATATCTATAAATATATAAAAAAAATTCATGAATATTTATTAAACTGATACCCATATTAACATGAGACTGATAAGAACTATTAATTGTACCCACTTTATCTCGCCTTATTGTTATCACTATATACATATACACATGTTAAAATAATAATTTATCATAAATCTAATACATGAGTTTTAATTATAAAAAAATATCTAGTAAAAAATATATATTTATATTTAAAGAATTTATTTATTATAAATTTTAACTATATAAATAAAAAAAATATCTTATGTATTGTTTATACTAAAATATTAATTATTTATTGTAAATGTAAAATATAATTTATATATTTAAAATAATTTTCTTATAAATTATAATTACAAATAATTTATAAATTTAAAATTATTTATTATAAATTATAATTATATAACCTAAATATTATTCTTGTGTATTTCATATACTAAAATAATAATTTAATATACAGGGGCTGGATGGTTAAAATGATTTAAGTTGGTTGAATAAAAAATATTAACAAAAATTCAGAGTATCAGAAATCAGATACTTAGGGTATTTGTTTTTTCTTGGTCAGACGTATATTTTATGGTTGTTAAAAAAACGTTTTGGGCCGTAAGAGGGCACAAAATTAAAGGCCCAAAGAAAGAGAGCCTACAGGGAGCGATTAACAGGTGTAGTAGAACAAGTTTCTTGGATGATCAATAACAGCAACATTGTTGATGTTGACTGAATCCCCAACAACACGAACATGAGTTCTGATCGAACATGAAAATCCAAATCCCTTCGCAACTTCTTCAATTGAAACCCATCGAAGCCGCGAAAGATCGAAAGCAACAACGATGGAAGAGGCTTTGTTGCAGTTCGCTCCGATGCAGAGCTCCGTCGACGAGGGTTTCTGGCACCGGTTGTCTTCTTTGAAGCTCAACAAGCTTGGCATTGACGATTCTCCAATTCACATATTCGGTTCGATCTTTACGCGTCAAAAAATAGCTATACTTGTCGTTTGTTTTCACTTTTAAGACCATTAAATAATACGCATATATTTTGCAATTTCTAAAATACAGTGTGAACCGTACTTGATTGCAGGATTCTATGCACCTTGCTCTCATTCTCAAGTATCGAATCATTTAACTGTTCTAGCCGAGTCTTTGCCTTCTGAATTGAGTGAGGCTTCGTTAATTCCTGAACCGAGCCGCGGCAACAGGAACAGGTGTTCTGTTCCGGGGATACTTTACAATACCAATACTGTGGAAAGCTTCCATGCACTTGATAAGCATAGCTTGTTGAAGAAAGAGGCTGCAAAGGTAGAATAGATACACCGTTTCATTATTCATGTAGACATCACTAGAGAAGATACGTTGGATTGGAAACTTTTGATCTCGCCTGAGTTTACCTTTTGTTGTTGTTGTTGTTGTTAAATTAGATTTGGGATGACATTATATCTGGAAAGGCTGTGGAGGACTGTTCGCTACTTTCAAGATTCCTTGTTATTTCTTTTGCAGACCTGAAAAAGTGGACTTTCAACTACTGGTTTGCGTTCCCGGCTCTCATGCTTAATCCACCTGCAACTGTGGTTAATCTAAAGCCAGCTTCTAACTGGTTCAGTGTAGCAGAGGTGCTCTGAGTTTCATTATTCTCAACACGTTTGTTTGATTACACTATTATTTTTGTTGATTTTAACTTTATTTGTTTTGTGGCATGCCAGGCCGAGTCCCTCTCTGCAGCCTGTAATGAGTGGCGTAGCTCAAAATCAACAGCAGGTATAAATCTCTTGGCTTCCTCAAACTTCTGGAATGGAAGTAATCTCTTTAGTCTTTGCTGTACTTTTTAACTCGGCACGCTTTGCCTAATAATAAAAAATATGTGGCAGATGTCCCATTCTTTTTAGTCACTATAGATCCAAACTCACGTGCTACTGTTAGGCTTCTGAAGGACTGGGAAGCTTGTCAGAGCAATGCTCACAAGGTCTCTTACTTTAACTAACTCTGCTTATGGTAATTAAAGGTTTAATTGCACTCTTGGTTCTTCTGGTTTAGACTTTGAGTGACTTTACTCCCCCAAGTTTTTTTTTTTGAACTATTCAAGCCCCTCTATTTTTAAAATAAATTTAGTCTCTTTGTTGATTTCCTTCTATTTAAAACCTCAAATTTCTATTTCTTATCCAAATATTTGGGGGTTTATGTATATGATGGGTTGAGATATGAAATGATTTTAAAATTTAGAAGTAACAAATTTAGTTGAAACTTGATAAAAATTGCCGAATTTTATAAGATATAAGATTAGAGTTTGAAATTGAATAGGGAAATTTTTTAGTTATATATATATAGAGAGAGAGAGAGAGAGATAGATAGATAGATAGATAGGATGAAATTTAATGTTTTGGTTGATATGTTTTGACTAGAAGGTAATTTAATTGATTGAATTTATAAATATTTTGAGTAGAAAATGGGAATTTAAAGATTTTAGGTGGAATAAATTGATGAGGGGACCAAATTTGGTTAATTTAAAAATAGAGGGACTCGATTGTCTCGAAACAAAATTGAGGGACCAAAATCGGTACAGTCTAAATTAGAGGGATAAAAGTGCAATTAAGTCATAGATGTATAGTTTTAGTCTTTGTGTAATTGCTTTTGGAATGTGAAACTATAGATGTCCTTTTATGAAATTTACCAGATTCTATTGGCAGATCCTTTTTGGATTTTATGACCCATGTCATCTCCCAAATAATCCTGGATGGCCTCTTCGCAACTTCTTAGCACTTATTTCTGCGAGGTGGAATCTCAACTCTGTTCAATTTTTCTGCTACAGAGAGAACCGTGGTTTTGCAGATATGAGGTTTTCCCTTGTTGGTGAAGCATTGATAACAGTTCCACAAGGTAGAGCTGCATTAAATGTGTAACCTCTACCTGCTTGTTGATATCTTTTTCTATTTGTTTAGTGTGTTTCTAATTTGGAAATTATAACTGCATAGGGTGGAAAGACACTGTGCCTAATGCGGTTGGATGGGAACTTAATAAGGGGAGAAAAGTTCCTAGGTGTATAAGCCTTGCACAGTCCATGGATCCAACCAGGTCTCTTGTCTGCATTTTTTCCCTCTAATCTCTCTTTCTCTCTCACCCTCTCCCTCTTTCACTTCTGTAACAATACTACTTATTTTGTCAATATTTCTATTCTTTTTTATTATATTTTTTAATTCTTTTTTCAGGTTGGCCATATCTGCTGCAGATTTGAATTTAAAGCTGATGAGATGGCGTGCTTTGCCTTCGCTAAATTTGAATGCTTTATCTTCCATGAAGTGTCTTCTCCTTGGAGCTGGCACACTTGGATGCCAGGTTGCGCGCATGCTTATGGTGAGTGTTGAGAAAATCATGTTGTTTTTATCCTTCAATTTGTGATAACTGAAAAAACTTGTGCTCTTGCAGGCATGGGGTGTCCGAAAGATTACTCTGGTTGACAATGGCAGGGTGGCTATGTCTAACCCATTGAGGCAGTCTCTTTATACTTTGGATGACTGTCTTAATGGTGGTGAATCTAAAGCTACAGCAGCAGTTGAAAGTCTCAAACGGATATTTCCAGCAGTGGTAATTCATCTGAACCGCAAGACTTTACTTGATGGTAAACTTGATAATCATATTTTTTGCATAACTGCATACATTTTGTTCTTTTTCAGGAAGCAGAAGGCATTGTTATGGCTATACCAATGCCTGGTCATCCAGTAAATAACCAGGAACAAGATAGCGTGCTTCATGATTGTAGACGTTTGCATGATTTAATTGATGCTCATGATTCAGTTTTTTTATTGACTGATACAAGGGAAAGTCGATGGCTTCCAACACTTCTATGTGCCAATACTAACAAGGTTGGGTCAGATTATTCTCATAAATGACACATTTGTCACTAACTATATCATTGCTGAACATGAGATTCACATTTTAAACTGATGCGTATGTTATGATTGTTATGATGTTATCCAATCTATAATTTGATTGGGTTTCTTTAACCAACATAATTGGTTATTTACCCATTTATTATTCATCAATTTGCAGATTACCATTACTGCGGCACTTGGGTTTGATAGTTTCTTGGTGATGCGCCATGGAGCCGGTCCTTTAAGTCATGCCCACAACTTCAGTGCTGAAACTACTAATTCTTCACCTGCTGATAGATTGGGCTGTTATTTCTGCAATGATGTTGTTGCACCAACCGATGTAATTCTTGTGCTGCATTGTCTTATATTTGAACTAAAACTAATGTAACATAACTAATTCATTTTAGCTTTCTGCAGTCAACATCCAATCGCACTTTGGACCAGCAATGTACTGTGACCCGACCGGGGCTGGCTCCAATTGCTTCAGCTCTTGCAGTTGAACTTTTAATAGGGATTTTGCATCATCCTCAAGGGTAATTCGGCAAACATTGATTTTATGTAGAAGAATTTTGAGGCATTTTACCATAGAGCCAAAGAAGAAATCCCATCTGCTCTGCTTTATTTATCCAGCCTGAAATTCAGATACTGATTATACCATTTCAGGATATTTGCAGAAGCTGATATTAACAACAGTGCCACTGGAGCTACCGAGAAACCTCTTGGTATTTTACCTCATCAGATTCGTGGTTCCCTTTCTCAATTTTCTCAAATGACCCTTTTAGGCTACTCCTCCTCCAGCTGCACAGCCTGTAGTCACACAGTAAGTCTGGGTGCTAAATAGTGTCTTTTATTTTGTAATACTTCTTCTGCAGTTAGTTAGCTTATGCTTTCCATCACCTCCAGAAGTGCTTTGGATGTTGTGCCTAGAACACCTGAGCCATTAGTGTCATACTTTGCTAACAAAATTTAGTATTTATCAAATTTTAATTGTTAAATTAAAATAATAATTACTTAGATTAAGGCGTTTTCCCAAATTTTTTCAGGCATAATAGATTTAGTATAAATTGGCGAATCATTAACATCAATCAGGTTCAATCAGTAAAAAGTGGGAGAATATTTCTGTACATAGAGGAAACAGTGGAATGAGGAATTTGGAGGATGAGGATTTTGGGCTGTAATTATGAAAATTTTAAATTCAAACTACTGAAAACACATTTATGAGCTTATATCTTTACGAATTTTAATTAATAAACACTCAAATAGATAATCACAACCATGTTGGTAATTTGGAGACAAAAGTTGCATGGAGAACTGATCAGAGTTCTCTTTACTATTAATGTGCATTGTCCTCTCTTTTGGCCTGTATGCAGAGAAGTTTAATGAATATGCTATTGTCTCTCAGTTGGCCTTTGCTTCTTGAACTTATCATTACCATTTTCTCTATCCATGTTTTTTAAAATTGCAACCATTCAGGTTGTATCAGAATATCGAAACCAAGGAATGGAGTTCATACTTCAAGCAATTAATCATCCTACCTACCTAGAGGATCTCACTGGACTGACGGAGTTGATGAAATCAGCCACCTTGTTGTCATTGGATTGGGACAAGGAGAATGATGAGGAGGACGATGACTGTCTTGAAATTTAACAGTCAATCAGTTGTACGTAAACTAATCCGTTTAATTTATGATTTTTTTTTTTACCTTTGGCAACTGTTGCTTTTAGTACACCATACCTTGTCAAATGTACAAAACTGATTCCATGTAACTTATATTCTTTATCAACGTCAGCAATTCGAGTTTATTATGCATTTACCATACCTTTTTCCTCGGTGAGTAATCCAACTACTTGACTACGAATTGAAAAACCCATTAGAAACCTAGAAGAGCAAGGCAGAACATTCCACTCACTGAATATGGGATCAACTCAAGTTAACAATACAGTGTGTAATTAACTAACATGTGCAAAATTAAATCTGAGGAGGCAACCTCATGTTTCGTTAACCAGTATGATTATCGTAATCACCAGTTCTTCGCTGTAAGGGTGGAGGCTAAACATTAACTTCTGATATTTGTTTTAGTTTTTTGAATTTTACTTTATGCTATCTCTTGTACTAACAATGTTCTAAACCTAAAACCACGTAATAAAATAAAAAAAATAAATAAAAAAAACACTTGCAGGTATATACACAATTCTGTCCAGTAAAAGTAGTGATGGTATTAGTGTGTTGTCAAAGAGTTTGCATAGGAATGAATACATTTGTACAAGAGAAATCATCTTAACAACATTTGAAACACTCATTTTAATTTAATCCTTACTATTTGTTAAAATTACTTGTTAAATAAGGTAAGTTATATTCCCTGATTAGTTAGGTAATAATTGTTTGGTCTGGGTTACTCTGTCCAATCAAATTGATTTAGGGTGTGATCATTTGGAAATGATTCTAAAAGGAAAAATTTTATGAAAGATAACATGGATTACAGGTACACGGTTACACCATTTTTGGGAAACCAGTTAATTGCTTTTACATTGTCACGCTCGAAAATAATGTGGCCGTGATTGTCAACTTGTCGTTTATTTTACCACGAATCTAAACACAGAAGTACCCTAGCAAAATGTTAGGAACCAAGATTTGAAAATAAAATAGAAGAAAGAAAAATATAGTATTCCTTAATTGCAACGGAACAGAAAACAGGAAAGATAACCCTCCTGTAAAAATTTTCCCTTTACAAAAGATTTTTCTTTTCACAAAGACCTAATGTTGAATATATAAATGAACAGATCTTAATGAATTTCATTCCCTTCAATATTCCAATTTATTTATGTCACCAACTCGCTATAATAAACTATTCTAACCATCCTAACTGATTCATTAACTTCCCCTTCCCCCAAGTCCTAACTCAAAGACTACATCTTAATTAACAATACTATGCAAGAAAATAGAAACCATCACAAAGTTGATTAAAAATACTCTTTCACCATTGATTTCATTAATGTTCAAATAAAAATATTCTCTTTTTTTTTTTGTTTTAGTTCAAGAAAGTTTAAAGAACAGGAGTTTGCCCCATTCATATCAGGGCATGTTCAAGATTTAGCGAGAGATTATTTACAGGAGTCTTACCAATGAAAGATCAACAAAAATAGATTCCAAGAAACCCAATTATAATTGAATTTATTTTCCTTAAAATTAAACATAACTACAATCATTATTGAAATCAGGACTCCAGAAACTAGGCATGTCTTTTGGGAGGACCAGGAAGAGGAGTGCCCTCTAGGAAATATTTTATCAAAGTTAGGGCTCTTGCTGGTTGGTAACTTGGCACTTGATGCCCTGCTTCCCTCACCGTAACTAATGTTAGGCCTCCCTTGTATACTTCTGCATAGCCACCAACCTGTTTCACACGAAAGTTCTTGTGAAAATGCATTCTTCTGCCATAAAGCACGATTAAAAATGTTAAAGCAGCTACCACAATTCATGATTATTCTTTCAATTCAATTGCTCAGTTTCGTTTAATACGAATAGGCAATTACATTAGCTACAATTCATTTATAACAATTAGAATGCAAGGAAAAACTATGATAGACATTCTGGGTGTAAATAACTACCTCTCCATAGGAAAACCAAGGATGCCACACAGTTTTAACAGGAAGGTTCATCTTGTAAATCGAATACTTGGTTGAAGTAATTGGCACCCTTCCATCTGTGTCACCACTGTACCAAACAAAAGATAGATTAATCATAATTTGTTAATACATACAAGTTAAAGATGCATTTGGCTGGATCATAATTACAAGTTTTAACAAATACTATATGAATACTTTACCTGAAAATCCACACCCTGAGGTTATTTTGGAGGAATTCATGTAAAAGTGGAAGGACTGTGGAAGAGCTATCTACCCACTTAGTAATGACATCACTGCAGGGTTCCCAGTCATATTTGAGGTTGGTGACATTTGCATGGAGAGCCTCTTGAACATCCTTTCTATTAAGATATGCATACACATAATACTCACTGCATGGATCAGTGACAACCTGCAAAACAAATGAACATGACATCGGTTCTAGTAAAGTTCATGCTTCATGCAATATTGAGTTTTCTAGAAGAGAAAATAATATTTACTCCAGATTACACTCTCATCTGGTCACAAACTACCATGTCTAATAAGTTTGTTAATTTTAATAATAACTACCTTAAAAGTTATACAATGAATAATTTCTAATTGGTGGACAATTAAACTCTTTCTAAATTCTATTAGATCAAATATTCTATAATTTTCAAAATTTATAAATAAAAATAAATAAATAAATAAATAAATAAAAGAGTGAAATTTGAAGCTTACAGTGCTCCTTTTGGGCAGGGCCGTGAGATTAGTATTCTTGCATAGTGGAGCATAAATATTGTATAAATCAATGTATTCAAGATCCTTCTCAGTTTCATCTTCAGCTGCATCGCAATCACTTTTCAGAATCTTTGATGAAGAGGAATCGCAAGCTTTGCTGATATAAGCTGCTCTGTCTGAGATGATTGCATGGCTAGCAAGATAATCATACAGTCCTCGCGTGTCAGTTTCATCGTTGATCACTGCATTTCCAATCTGCACAATGTAAAACACACACACACACACACGTATATTCTTATATCTTTGCTTTCTTCTATTCTTGTAATAAATTTACATCAAACTATATAATAAGAATCTCAAAACTATAGTAATCCTTAATCATTTGACTCCTTTTTTTTATAAAAAAAAACATATATATAATTTTAATTAATTCACTAGTTACAACTTACAACTTATTGGATATCCCCTACGTGAATCCTACACCCCCCCCCCCCCCAAACTACGAGCTTTTGTCTTAGGGTTTTGAAACTGCACTTATTTCTTGTCAGAATTTATTTCTTACCAAAGTTTTATCTCTCAGAATTACAAAATGAAATTCGAATATAGTACTTTAGTCCTCACTTCCAAGTCAACCCTATGTTCTTTTTCAGGGTACCAAGAGTTGTTTTGCATTTATAACGCATGTTTCAGAATTAATAATAGTATAACAAATATATTACTGTTATTCATTATAAAAAAAATGATTTTATGTATATTAAGAAAGTTATATTTTTATATTAAATTTTATTATTTCTATAATATTTTTCTAAATTAGTCTTATTATAAAGATAAAAAAAAATATAATATAACTGAAAAGTCATATATTAAAAAAGATATATTTTAAAAAAATATATAATTAATTGAGATAAAGTAGTTAAAATTTATTTATATTGATATATATTTTTTCTTATAATAAAAAACAGAAGGAGCAATTAATAAGGATATGACAATTCATCCTAACACCCAATTAACATATGACTACCTCAGGAACCCCACTTGCTCTTGGTTATTTTTTCCATTTTGTTAAATTTTAAACTCTATTTATATATATATAAATTTGTACGTTTAAATGTTCGGTTGTTGTAGAGCATATAACATCATTGAATATTTTGACATGGCATACAATATATCTTAGGAACTCCGTGGATTAGGAGTACCAACATAATAATATTTCAACCACTAGGGTTAATATGGTAGTTGGATAGGAAGGGATTAGGATAGTTAAAAGTATAAAAACTTAGATTCAATCTTCACTATTATCATATTTGTAATCTTTCTTATCTTTAAAATAATAATAATAATAATAATAATATTTCAATTTTCAAGCAATATACCATAGGAGGAGGGTTCAAATGACACCGGTGTAACTTTTACTAAGTGTTACACCGTTCAATAACTTTATATTAAATGTGAATTTTGTAAATCTAACCGTTAGATGGAAAGTTCATATCTCTTAGATCATATATGTCAAATTTTGTTAAAATTGAACAACAACTTGAAGGTAATCAAAGTGTTCATATTTTAGTATATTTTGAAATGTATATATTACGTCAATTTTGTTTTATGAGAATGAAGTATCAAATCATCTTAGATTAATATAAAATTT